TATATCTTTATGTTTGAAGCCTGAAATGTGGCAAAAGGTTGAAAAGTTCAAGGGGGCCGAATACTTTCGCAAGGCACTGTATATGTACGAAACTGTAAAACCCTCACCCACTGCAGTGATTATGCATGAAAGATGATATCTAAAATTCATGAAGGATCAAAATATCAAAATTGTAAGTAAAATATGGAATACCATCTACAGTTAATTAATTGTGTGTGTATGAAAATTTAATTTTATATGTAATCATTTAACCACTCATATATAAACATTAGAGGTATGTGCATAAGAGTCTAGGTCACACACAAAATGAAATGTTGTTGGCTTACAAAAATACTTTATAATGGGCACTCCTGGGTCTCAAACAACAATAATACATCAGGCTGTGTTATCTATAAACCAGAGAAAATATTATATATTCTTGTTCTAGTAATTACAATCAAATATGAAATGCATGTTTTTATAATAATACAGCCAACAATTCCTTCAATACCTTCAGTGCCTTCAATACCATACAGCCCTTACTTCTAAGGAGGAAGCTGGAGGAGATGCAAGTCGATGCCTCCATGACCTTGTGGATCACTGACTACCTGACAGGCAGACCACAGTCTGTGAGACTTCAGAACTGTGTGTCTGAACAGGTAGTGCGTAACACAGGGGCACCTCAGGGGACGGTTCTTTCTCCATTCCTCTTCACCCTCTATACTTCGGACTTTAAGTACAACTCAAAGTCATGCCACCTGCAGAAGTTCTCAGATGGCTCTGCAATTGTGGGATGTATCAAGGGTGGGCAGGAGGAGGAGTACAGAGGACTGGTCAGCAGCTTTGTGGAGTGGTGTGGGGAGAACCACTTGGAACTGAATGTAACAAAGACAAAGGAACTGGTGGTAGATTTCAGGAGGAAAAAGGTCAAACCTACTCCTGTCTGCATCCATGGGAGTGGTGTGGAGATAGTGGACTCATACAAGTACCTGGGAGTGCACATCGACGATAGACTGGAATGGTCTAAGAACACCGAGGCCATCTATAAAAAGGTACAGAGCCGACTTTACTTCTTGAGGAGGTTCAGGTCCTTCAATGTATGTAGTAAGATACTACATATGTTCTATCAGTCGGTGGTAGCGAGCGCCATTTTCTACGCAGTGGTATGCTGGGGCCCTGGGATTATAGCAGTTGATTCTAAAAGGCTGAACAAGCTCATCAGGAGAGCAAGCTCTGTCATTGGGTCTGACCTGGACCCCTTGGAGGTAGTGGCTGAGAGGAGAATGGTGCCCAAACTAGAGGCCATCATGGACATCATCTCCCATCCCCTCTATGACAGGCTTGTAGAAATGAAGAGCACATTCAGCAATAGGCTGATTCATCCTCAGTGGAACAGGGAGCGCTACAGGAGGTAATTCTTGTCTTCTGCCATAAGACTGTACAACGCATCCACCTTGCGTCTGGGCAGAGACAACATTGACAGTGACCTGTTTCTGGACTGAACACATCTACACATCTACTGCTACATCTGTTCTCTTTCTTTTCCTGTTAACAACCGTTTTTTGTGCAATATATGCCAGGGACCCGTGCAATACATTTATATTTGTATCTATTGGTGGGTAGCTGCGTCAGCAAGCGTAGGCTGCAAAGGAACAAGTTATAGGTTTATTCCATTCTGGAATAAATGGAATAAACCTATAACTTGTATTTATATCTATATATATATTTACATCTATATCTATATTCATATGTGTGATACGATTTTTCTGCGTACTGTTCTGTTCTAGTTTGTTCTTTGTGTGTCCGGCCTGTGAGTAACTCTTTTAGCGCACCTCACTGTACTGATTGTATTGTATGTATTGTACTATTATTATTATTTTATCATTTGTAACACTGTGGCTGTGTTGTCTGTGTAAAGCTGTTGTTGCACTGCAATTTCCCTCACTGGATCAATAAAGTATCTATCTAATTAATTCAGGATGACCTAACATTTAAATGTTACTTTAATTGTGAATTGTTTTAATACTAAACCATTATTTATACGTAACAACATACAGTATTTTCTAGAATGTACTGTAGCATTTTAGTTTCTCATGATTTGAGATTATTGCTCTGACTGCATTAGATTGGCACTCATGGAGGCCCTTAACTGTTCTCACGCATGCACCAATATACTAACAATCTGCAAAGGAACAAGTAAAGGTTTATTCCATGCTGAAAATGTGTGACACCTGAAGAAGGCTCCACAGCCAAAATGTTGTGTCTCTTTTCTTTTCAGCATGGAATAAAACTTTACTTGTTCCTTTGTAGCCTACGCATGCAGATACCTACTTGAATTTCTATGAACAATCTGGACTCACTGCTATTACCCTAAAGAAGAATGCACATGTCCATAGCCAGAAAACAGGAGTGGTTAAATAACAAGATAACAACAATTATTAAATGAAATGGAGGTATTTGTGTCAGGTTTATTATCACTTTGCTTCCAAATTGTCCTTGAAAGTACATTCAATTACCAAAATCCCAAGAACAATTACTACCAGTTTCCATATTCTTTAATACCATAAAAATGTGATCAAGCAGAAAAGAGACAAAAGGATGCTAAAAATAAAAAACATAGAAACTAATTACTCAGACAATATTATGAAATCAACAATTAAAATGCACAATAAACCAGGCACATTTTGACTTGTCAAAATTTACCACTGCATGCCCACTGTGATTCACCGTGATTCACTTCAGACATGACTGCTGGATTTGGAGAACAAAACAATGCATTCAGCAGTTATTGATGCCAAGAAATTTTATTTCAGAATGACAAATAGTTATAGACCCTTTTCTGTGTTTCAATACACAAGCAAAATCTTTAAGGACAATTATTAGCTAGCTGAAACAGTATAGAGTATTTTTACACATTTTACAATACATACTGTAGCTTTTCACTGGATAAAGCAATATGCATTTCTACTGATATAATACAGCTAATTACATTTTATGTGAAAAGCAAAAAAGGCAAAAATAATTTATTTAAATATCAATTTCATGTACAGAATGTGCAACATTTGTTAGTCATTACATACATTACATATAACAGTTAATTGGAGATATTTTACTGAAACATAGCTTAATTAGGGAATCATTAGTGACTTGGCATTAGGACTAAATGTACTGTAAATGGCTTGATTTGGACTGGGAAATTCTGCCTCTGATGATTATACAAATACTACAACCTAATCTATTCACTTTTAAAAGAAGCTGAATATGCATTCATACTATGTAAATCTGGTGGTTACCAAGGTGTTTTTCAGAAACATTTATGATTCCAAAGTGCTTTTAAAATAAACAGTCTTCTGTCTGTGTAAGATATATATACAGTTTCAAAACTTGAGGTAAGCTGCAGACAACCCTTGGTGCGTCTGTGAAAAGGAGGGGGATAATACTATAAATCTGCACTAGGCCTGGAATAAAGGTTTAAAATAAGGAAGTATGCAACACATACATTTCAAAAGCTTTAAATATTGAACTTCAATAGATAAAACAGTCATCCCTAACTAAATCAATATTTAAGTAAGATAGTCGCTGCCTTCTCTGCCTTCTCATTAAATGGCACTTGTGACCAGGAGGGCAACAACAGAATAAGGCAGTATAAAACACACTTTGTGTTTAAACCATCATGTACGTCACACAAATCCTTATAAAAGCACTGTAAACTAAAAGAAGGAGTTATATATTTTTTTCTTAAATCTATTACCTCTTCAAACTTTCTCCCTGACTATGTTCAGACAATTTGTCAAAATACTATGGTGTTTTGACCAAATATTTGTTGCCCTTTCCCTCTGTGTTTTCTTCAACTACAGGTCCTGAAACAAGGTACAGGTGTGTACATCAAGAAACCAGAATAGACTAACACCTTCACATCTGTGAATGAATGGAACACTTTACCCTCAGGTACCCTGGTTAGAAAATTCATTGACATAATCTTTTTTATGCCACTTTATTGTGTTTCTTTTAAATTGCATCTGCATTGATTTCAGAATCTCACCATAAATACCATGGTGTTCTATATTGCCCTTTAGTGCTCATACTTTGTACTGCACATGCTATGTTTGGAAGTTCAAGAACTAAATTGAGCCATGCACTCCATCTATTGAGGATCTTGAAATACCTATATTGGATCAGTGGATATTTAAATTGCTAATACAGTCTCTTTAGTGGAAAGCAAATTGAAAAAACAGATTATTAATTTCTCACATCAATATTTGTCACAGACTATATTCACATTTATAGCAGGCTGTATATATTTTTTGCCTTGATTGAAGTCAACCGCAATTTTTTTAACAGGAAAATTTGATCAATTATGAGGGATGGAAATGCTTTGCTGATTCATTAAAATCTAGAAGGATGCTTCTTTTGGTACTACTGAACATACTTCAGGATTGTGTAATTCTGTATACATGGCTTTTTTCTTAACATCCAGATTATATTGTCTTCCTTTCATTACTTTTATAAAGTCTTTATACAGTACATAATCAGTTCTGTGATGACATGCGTTCTGACTTTTTATGTGACAAACTAGGCAAATAAGTTTCATATGAATAATTGCAGCAAACTGCTCAAACATATAGTATTTGCTGCGCCAAGCTTTTTTAACTCTTTACCTCAAATCTTAAACTGAATGACATGTATAAGCATTTAAAAACTTGACACATTTGCCCTGTCTAAAAACACAGCTACTGTCTCATCAATGATCAAAGGATCTCCAAAAGAAGGTGGTATCCTCATATACCTGTCAAAAGTACATGTTCTACAAGCAATCACAATTACAAGAAAAAGGGAGTAAAATACAAATTAAAGGCAGAGATTGCAGTAAATTGTGATTATTAGGAACTGATTACATGTGTAGATATTTATTAAAGCGTGTTTTATACAGTATACTCATAAGGCAACATAAAACAAGCAAAACAATATTTGTTGCAGGTTTGTTAGTACTGTATAAGAAGTCTTGCATAAAGTGTCTACACATTCAAGGACTTTATGCTTTTTGGGAGAGGTATAAAAGTGATCTAGGTGTAAAGAATGCCTTAATCTACAAAAATGCTCCACAGGAAGGAAGTTCTCAAACAAAGTAGGATCTGCCCACTTTGCAAACAGACGTTGCAAAAAACATTCTGTTCATCATTTGAACCTGGTTATAGCGGCATGTACTGCTATTGGAATTAGAAACCTGCCCCTGGTGAAATTCTGGTATTTTTTGAAAACATATTAGTGGTAATATAGCTCCAAAAAAACATACTTTATTAAAATTATAAGATAATACAAAAAGCTGGACACTGTTGTTTTATTTAAGCTGCTTTGTTGCTTACTATAATAAACTACAATATACTCATCTAATAAATGTTAAACCACTTTAAAACAGTTGGAATTAACAGCTGTACTCTAAAAACATACAAAATGTTTTGGCCTAGTAACAGTCCCTTGTTGCTTACTAGGTCCATTATAAGCAAAACAGACAAAAATAAAGCACTTATCAAACAGTCTCTCACAACTGTCAATAAAACCCCTACCTCAACAGAAAAACCGTAAGATTCATTCAAATGCAATTCTTGGATTTTCCCAGGCAAACCAGCACTTGTGTCTAAAGGAGAGACAGTTTAAAAAGAAATAAAGTGGATTTTTTGTTGTTCATTTAAAGGCCTCCAATATTTAATTCTTGGCAGTCAGATCAACATTATTGTAAACACCCAAAAAGAAAACAAAACAAGAAATCACCGTAGAACCATTTTCAGTTGCTAATAATGAATTCTCACTGAGCACTATCAGCCTGCACCAGCCTGGCAGCCACCAGTAGCCTGTTGATGTGCCGTTCTTCCTTGACCCCAGCCTCCCAGAACTTAGTCTCTGTCATTGATGAGATTTGGTTCAGTGTATTGTACCCTGCTGCTGTGAACAACTGAATGTACATGGGCAGTCCTATTGAAATCAGCCAGTCAGACACTGTGCTGATATGTCCTGGAGACAAGGGCTTCCGGCACATTTCAGTCAGACCTCCAGATGGTATCTGGGGAGAGACAAAATGTACATACATTGTACATTGACATTATAGTCAATCAAGCAATCAATCAATCAACAAATGTACTTATGTATGGTAATGTATATACACATAATCCAGAACATTCTCTAGTATTCATAAAGAATATAGAGTGCAGAAGTTATTAATATTTGTAGGCTGATTTCTACATGGATTAAAGTATAACTGCTGGAGATTATAGCCAGGATTTTGTTTCCTGTTACAAATTATATAAATCCTGAATATTGTCTTTAGTAGCAACTCAATTTAAAATTGTTGACATAAACATTTGCTAAACAGAATCTGTTCTAAGGGCAATTTTGAGGGGTATGTATTCTTTATTGAGTTTAAAGCTAAAAACAAAATGCACAATTTCTAATGTTTTATTCAGATTTAGAGGAAAGCTGGCACTTTGCTAAGATAAAGTAATGAAGGACTGAAGAGAATCAGATGAATACATCTGATCCAAAACACCCCCAGATTCAAAATGTCTGTACCCTCAAACATTTTTGCTTGCAAGGGCACATCCTTCCATTTGTTTTTTGTCCCAACCGTTTTATGTATTTTATCTGAAAATCTTTTTTTTTTTTTAAACTCACAAGAACCATACTTTACTGGAAAAATTTCAATCAAATCTTCCCCTCTTTTAGGCCTCAGAACACTCACTGCCATGCGGTGTTGCTTGCGGAGCTCCTTTACTCTAACTTGGTCCATAGTAGAGGCCACATTATTCACAGATTGCTCCAAGTCTTCAGCATACCTCTCCACCAGGGAATGTGGGATTCCACAGCGGCCATGCTGCAACAACACTATTTTAGTCAGCATAGACCACAAAAATTAGCAGTAAATCAGTGTGTTAGAAGAAAGGAGTTGAACTACAAAAGAAATTTTCCTGCAGTTCATTCAACACAAAAAACAACTAATTTCTGGGTCATCACAAACTACTATACTGTATGTTGGCATACAGGCTTAATTGCTTCAGACTTCAGGTAATCAGAAAAAATTGGCTTCATGTTAAAAAAAATGCTCTTTTAGCTTTTCACTCTGCTGGCAAACATTTAATTTTAGATTAGTTCAGCTCCAGTCATAATTTGTAATTCTTATAATATTTTCCTATTTCAAATGATATATCAGGTAATTTCATTTTATACCAACAGTCATCTCTGCGACAGATGTTTTGTTGAGTTGAAAAAACCCAGACTGTCAATGTAACATAATGCAAGATTCAAACAAGAAAAATTATTATCTCACTATAACTGGAAATTGTGATGTTTGTCACCTGATGCATTAAGCAGTACTGCACATGTAACTCAAGTTAGGCGGAATATCTTGCAATTTAAATTTATAAATTTATTTGAAAATTATTACACTGTTTAAAGGCTTCTGAGGAATGTATCTTTCTCACTGGGAAATAAGATGCAAACAGTCTGATCTAATAGTACATAAAATAGCTAGTTTGGTGGCATGAAGATTCATGTACAGCTCCAAGTAGATATATTTCTACTAATTTACTAATTTGTACCTCCTTTATAATAATGTTATACTATATTTTATTAAATAATTTATGAACCTGACAATTCTGACATAATCCTGTTAAAAAAACAAGGAATTTCAAATGTATACATGAATGCCAAAGTGCAGAGATTAAACAGATTTGTGGGAGTCTTCTATATGTAATCCAGATATCAGTGCATTCTTCCACAAAGACAATAATCTTATCAATGAAAGAAGAGAATCTGAGTGCTTCCCAAGGAGTGTTCAGTGTAAGGGGCAATGAACAGGAGTGGAACTTGAGTGAGTTTATTTCTTGGCTATATTTTGAATTAAAATAAATGTAATTATATTTCTTATGAAGGTTTGTGGGAGACACATATTGTATATGTATAGACAAAGTGGGAGTATAGTATCCAGACATGTGGTATGTGGTTAAATGGGTAGCCAATGCCCTAGTTTCATTCAAGAAGTGGCTGGATGATATCCTTGGATCAATTAATGACTACCCACCAATGGGTTAGATGACCTGCTTTCTTTTCTGTGGTATGTACAGTATGTGTGGTACTGTATGTGTGTGGTACACTTAATATTTGCTACTGACTAGTATTAACAAAAGGTTAACAGGTTGTTGTTGTATGTGGTGTTGGTACAGCAACCAGGTAGTGTGTTATAGGAAGGTTTAATCCTTTAAATAAGATGTTAAACCACGAATCTGAGGTCTTGGTCATTAACGAACTCAATAATTTGTTAGTAACAGAGGGGTGTTAACTTTGATATGTTAGCTAAATTCTATCCTGCACCTATACAAACTGGGCTACTTAAAGATCTTCTTTAATCCAACTGGTAAAGCAATTTTCTCACTTCTGCACTTCATCCTCACTGTACATGCCCCTCACCAAACTGATAAATCTAAGCACCTGTACTTGTAAGTCCCTTTATAGGATATACAGTATATATTCAGGTGTGTAGCTGCAACAGCGTACGTAGGCTGCAAAGGAACAAGTAATAGGTTTATTCCAGGCTGAAAAAAAGAAGAAAGAAAACACAACGTTTTGACCGTGGAGCCTTCTTCAGGTGTGAGAAAGACAAGGCAGTAAGCAAAGGTAATGTAGCGGGAGAACAAAGGCTGGGAGAGAGGAGGAGTGAGAGGCGGGAGCAGGGGACAGAAAGAGAGGCCAATCAAGAGGTGTGAAGTCAGAATAGGTGTAGAGAGGTGTGAAATGAAACTTCCAATGAATGGAGAAAATTTAGAAGAAAGAATTTTGAATTTTAGAATTTTTAGAATTTAGAAGAAGATTTAGAATTTCTTATAAATTGTCTCCATTCATTGTAAGTTTCATTTCACAACCTCAATGTTTTTTTCAGCATGGAATAAACCTATTTCTTGTTCCTATACAGTATATATTATAGGATAATAACTTCTTAACTGGTAAACAAAGTTTTTTTTATAGTTAATGTGGGAGACAATGGAAGAAAGGAGCAGGTGATGACTGCATTTCATATCAGATATAAAATGTTTTTGGATTTGAATAACAAGATGTTATATACATAATAATAGACATTATGAACTGAACATACCGAGAACGTATATGGTATGTTGTTATACCAGTTGGATTAAGCAGTTTTGTCACAAAATACACATAATGAATGTTTTAGCTTGTGCAAGACTTAATGTTTAATACTGATTCTATAATAAATATCTCATATTTGTTCTAATATAGCATGTGGCATATATAAGAATATACAGACACTAACCCACTTTTTAAATTACAATAATAACATTTAAACCATATTGTAACTGCCATTAACAACCAAGAGTAAAGAAATATAAAATAATCAATTTTGTTGTAAAAACCAAATTTAATACTGTCATGTTTGACAAAGCAGCAACACCTGACACTAAAGGTTTTTTATGCTTATTACTTGTCACACTCAACACTAGCACTCTGTATAGCGAAATTACTCTTGTGCATGTGAATGAACAGCAATATATATTCTAAGTCCCAATCATATTAGATATGCAACATCCAACATGAGAACAGTTTCAATATTTACATTTGCAGGAAGGTTAAAATGAAGCTTTATACGTGATAGCTCTGCTTTTCTCATTTCAACATGGGATGCAACAGCAAGCAATGCCCTGGGAGAAGACAATTATACTGCCGCCATACAGAAAAACCACACGGTCAGACAAGGCGGCAACTCCCACCAGTGAAAGTCCATAAATATTTATTTTACTGCTCATTAAAACAATAACACAATCTGTGGCCTGTATTAAAATACTGGTTTACTTCTATTTTAAATCTAACAGAAATGATGAGCTTATTGTTTAATGTATTGTAGATTCAACCATGTTTTCAGGTGTATAAAAAATTATAATTCAGTACTGCAGTATATTCAGTTATTTTAAAAGGAGTATTTTTACTCCAGTATAAAAAATGAATCATAATATACAGTACCTGACCTACACAACAACAGGTTAGGTTCCATGCAAGTCTCTACACAACACGTGCTTTTACAGTATGAGTATACTGCAAATAAACTAGAGGAACTAGAGTGAAACCAAATTTGGCGCCAGACAAACATTTTTTAAGAAGAGCAATTAGCAATTCTATTTAAAAAATGTGCCTCGGAAAGACACTACTGGTCGATAAAAACAGCTTCTTCCCCATTGCCTTCACCCTGCTTAACCCATTAAAACAGGATGTAGTGTGTATATAACTGTGGACCTGTGAATGTTCTTTGTGTGAAGTGTACTTGTATTATAGAATTATTTCAATGCTTTTGCACCAAGACACCAGATCAAATCCCTTGTACCTGTAACATACTAGGCAAATAAAGTGCACATATAATGTGCTGGAAAAGTATCACTGATTCTTGTTTGATACAAATAAAATGCAACTTTGTTTGATTCACAAAATCTGCCAAATCTTGATTCATTTGGTATAGTGCTTTCTAAAACAGAGGCAGGTTGTGGTGTGAGAACAAAATGAATGACAGGTGTGCAGCCATTTTGGTAATCATGAGAATGATACTAAGCATGCTTAACATATTTTGTTCAAACAGTTTTTTAACTGTATGAGTTAGTGATATGGACCACATATCAACAGAGAGGAACAAATGCTGATCAGGTGACCCACATTTTCATTAACAATTGTGCAACTTTTCTGATGCAAATGGTAAAAATTGTAATGGTAAAAAAGTAGTAACTACTAACCATGAAATAGCCTAGATTTTAATGGCCTCCTGTCTTTTGTGATATTATGTTCTTATGTTATAAGAATGCCAAGTTTCACTTCAGTCAATTCAGCAGCTAATAACAATGAGCTAATAATGCAAAATATTTTACCTAATTAGATTAATAATGAAAAGAAAATGTGTTTTTTATACACAAATGGTGCTCTATGTTTGATGCAGTACTCACATTTTTTCACAAAATTATATTCACAAAAAGTCTATTATGAATTTGCCAGGCAGTCTAGTCTAAGAACTTAAAAAAGATAAAAAAATACTTAGAATTCTTATAGAAGTCCATCAAGTAAACAAAACTGGGCACATTATTTATATCCATTTCTTGTTGAATATAAATATAAATATTAACTACAGATTGTTACTCAATTCAGTGTATCAATACATCATACTATCATAACATCAAAAGGGATTTCATCAGTAGAAACTGAGTTTATATTTCAAGCATATTGGTCTTTTACAATAAGATTAGTGTGTGGTTTAACATGAGACGTTTAGGCTCAAGTTTTACTGAAGTTACCTTGTCTGAATAGGGCTCCTCGGTGAGATCAATTTCCTCTGACTCCAGTCTCTTCTCTATAAGTTTTTCCAGGTCAGCACCCTTTGTATATGAGATCTTCCTTCCTGCAGCCAGTTTGACTCCATGTATATGAGGACAGGCTGTCTCTGGGAGGTCAGACAGCCAGGGTGGAGGCACAGCAGGAGGGGTCCCTGGCTCCTCTTGAGAGGTACAGGGAGGTGCACAATCAGCAGGATTGGAAGGATTGTTCTTCTTTACGTGCAGGGAAGATGCAACTGGGTTTGGAACAATTAAAGATGGGTGATAAAGTCCATTTGCTAAGCGCTCCCTGCATTTTTTGATAGGGACTGGAGGAGGTTGCGATGACTTTTTGGAAGGTGTCTGTGTATTGCCCTCCTGTGAGCCTGGCTCTGTAGTGCTTCTGGTGCCCCCTTGATCAGGATGTGGATCTTTGCATGATGATTTGACTGACAGCTGTGAAGATAGTGAATGTTCCACATGGCTTATAAAGGAAATAGAGGCACACTCTCTGGGCTGACTCTGTGGCAATACAGGTTGTGGTTCTGCTCCTCTTCCTCCCCTGTCATCTATGTTGTTCAATTGCCTGTTGTAGCCCAGATCATTAAAACAGTTTTTGCAAACATTAGCTTGTTTGGCAATTGTAAACTCCAAACTATGGATATCCTTTCTGTCAAATCCCTGTTCTTCATTGAGATCTCCCAGTGAACGAGATCGTTTCCAAAACTCCTGGACCAAGGAACAGCCATCCAGGTCCTCACAGCTGTGGCTGATGGGCACTTGAAAGTTTCGGTGACTCTTTTTAAGGCTGAGGATGGAAGCCTTCATGGAAGGCTTGGGAAAGGGGCACTTGTGCTCTCTCTTGGCCTGCTGCATTACTTCAGTAGATCTAGTCATTGGGAGTGCAGGGCTGTCTACTCCCTGGAGCATGTTGGACTTGGCACCTGGTCTGGTGGGCTGTTGAACCTTTCGGGTCTTACCTAAAATAACAATTCATATATCTTAAGGCACAAGAGACAAATATAAAAAAAAACTTTTTCTTTGCATAGGATTTGACAGAAGAGAATACTTAAATTCGAGTGCTGTTTAAAATGAGGATTGTTATTGCTTATCAATGCTTGCCAAAATGAGAGAGAAGTCTCATCTTAGTGTCCAAGTAAAGTTTTTACTTGGACTGTTTTTACTGTAACTTTCTACTAGGAAACAATAATCACCATGTTATCCATGCTGACAAACATAAAAAATAAAAGGGTATTAAAGAGGACACTAAAACACTTTTCCCCCATCAAGGAATAAAATAGAAATGTTAATACATCACTTTTAAATCAGAGTGTTGTGTTTTACTTGACCAGCAATTATCCAGTACCCTGCAGTAGAAAGAGTTGCTGGATTAAAAAAAAAAGAATAATAACATTAAAGATTTTTAATGGCTTATTTTGTATATTCTTTAGAACACTGATGGTTGTTTATATTTTTAGTTTTAAATGTTTTAAATTAACTACTTAGAACACATTATTTACTAACACATTTAAACATTTAAAGTACAGTACTGCAGAAACTGAGCTGTAAACTGTACATTACCTTGTACAACACATTACGTTTAGTAAAGTACCTGCTTAATGACAAATGAAAACCTTGTTTAAAAAAACTACATGATATATTTACACAGCGTCAGCCCCAGAAAAAGTTGGAAGCCAGATTATCTGTCTCTGAAATATCAATGATATACTGTATATGTAGTCAGCAATTGGTGATCAGCTTCACTTACTATGATCCCGATCACAGGACGGGCGAGGATAGGAGAAACTGGAATGGAGGACTGCGAGTGATTTCCCTCAAATGTACCCACTAGCAAGTTATATTATATATGTTGTGAGATTCACAGGGCCCTCCAGGGTCCTCTGGACTCTGGAATGTCTAGTGCTGCTTGAGGAGTAATTGGATCTCTCAATGATGGTACTGAAAGTTTAAAGCCAAGGAGGCCCTGCAAAGCTGACGCCAACAAAACCATAGTGTTGCTCAGGCAGTGATGCACTGCTGTTTGTGAAATTCACAGTCAGCTAATGATGCATCAAATGTACAACAAATGTTAATATACTACAAGTACTAGTGCTGTATATACTACTAGAATATACTGCAGACAGTATATCGAGTCCAGATCAAATCAATACTGATCACATAAAAATCCAAATAGCTGTTTAGGTCTTGGCACTCAATGATGTGGTAAAAGTTGCCAAAAGGAAATCAAATTGTGCAAAATAAAGTTTGATACAGATGTAGCCATTCAAAACAAGCAGGGTATGCTGCAGTACAACGCGGTGGGCGTGTCGCATAAAAACGCATCATAATGTGACATTACGCATCATTTTACTGCATGCAAATTAGATTATGTTAACAGTATCCGGAACCACCTTGTTAAACCGCCAGGTGGAGCTAATAAAGCTTAACCTCTCATGTACAGCATTTGAGCTGTCACCAGAAAACACCTGATTTTGAATCCCGATCACTGCTGAGGGACAATCTTTATTCAATTAAGAATTTAAGATGTATACTCTTTAGACTTTTAAATTTAAACTGTATTACAGCATGTTAATCATTAAGCATTAAAAAGTTGGTATATTTTATGGAAGCAAGATTGCTCAGTTGGACAAAAGTACACAACCTACCACCTTTATCATAAATATTTTAATTATGCAGAAATATTTTATGCATCAAAGTCTTTATGGAGATATTACTAATAGTATTAATAATGAATTACCTTGGACAAGCTGTAAACTCAAAGTATTACTCTGGTAAACTGAATCTCCAATTCACCATGCCTTTCACATGCTCATAAACAATATTAATTTAGGAACATAAACATATTATGTAAACTGTATATGGCTGGTATTGGTAGTTTAAAGAAAAAATACACACCAGTATTCTACTTTCTTCCTTAACATTTTAAGCATCAAAGACTTACACGTGCTTATTTCAGAAACGTTTTTACATGCTCCTTCAGACCATATTACTGTACGCTTACTTTGTGAGAAAAGTGATAGTTTAAACCTTTTCTGCGAATACGCTCGTTATCGGAGTAAACAAAAGCATACTTTTAGAATTTGATTAATAGGAAATATAATATGGAATCACGTATCTAAAGAAATTAATAACGATATAATTATATTCATGTACTGTAGCACAAACAGTAGTATAAGACTTTCTATTGATATGTGTACGGCTGTTTCACTGCTTGCTATGTCACTGCGTCTCTGGTGTGATGGCTTAAGTGACTGATTTATAAGGCTGAGGTCAGGTGTTCAAATCCAGCTATCGCCATGAGTTTTCTTTTAACAAATAAACATTTCTTTGAAAAACTAAAATAGTAAATATAATGGACACTATATTGACATTTTTTATATGTCGAAATATCAAAACATGTTCGTACTACACAGCGGTACCGCAGGGTCTAAGGAGCAAACCCACGTGAGCCCGAAAGCCCTACATTAATGTAGGTTCACTTACTTTAAGGAGCTAAAAGAAGGTGTTTTATTATATTACAATTTCTGTTATACAAACATCTCAATCAACCTTCACTTCACAGAATACACCAATTCAGTTCAGTGATTATGGGACAAAGCAGGTTACTACAGTGGTGTACAATTATTGGAAACCATACTAGAATGAAGCAGATCCATCAATTATATAGAAAAAAGTAGAAACAATGGACAGGTGCTCAAGATTTACATAAGCTAGTTTCCTGCTTAGTCAATGCCAACAAATGATTTAGTTAATATTCAGACGGATATCTGGCAAAACATTGCAGGTGATGACAGGCACAGTAGAGGAGGAAAACAAAAAGCAACAGTAGAGAACAAAAGCAAGCAGGCTTTTACATCACAGATTAGTTTATTCCAGAATCCAGTCTCTACCATGACAATTGAACATCTTAAGGACACAATCAGTACAGGACTTGGGAAGTCCAATAATATGGTTTTGAGAGTTAAAAGGTCTAGATAAATATTTAAGTTGTTGACACCTTTAAAGATAGTAAACAAACTTCACAATTGCCAAAAGCAAACATTATTTAAAATTATTTTGGAAAAGTATAGTATGTAACTATACATTTTACATTGCATTAACCGGCATTAAAACATTTTCCTATACAAGACAAATATATTCCTTTATCCTTAAAATGAGTACTATTGTTTAAAAATATCAGTATATAACAGTTTACTTTTTTAGGCACGAAGATATTCAGCAACATTATAGTCACTAAAAATGAAAACACACCGAAAACACAAAACAGAATCATAAAATGTCTCTGGAAAAGAAATGTACAGGAATTAACTATATTCTGTTGTTTTATCTTGGCAACTTATTAACATTCACAAAGTTATTAAGCAATAAAGATTCAAAAAGAAAAATGTGGACCCTTTCAAATCTGGAATTGCTAATACTAACACTGTGCAATTTCTGTAACTATAGGCTTCTAATGTAAATCTATTTTACACTTGCGGCCTAAAATTAACTTGTGCCTTTTATAGTCAAAGAAAGTCTACATCTCTTGGCCACCTAGCAAACATAATGACATGTTACACAATGAAGGTCTGTTTTTAGTTTCAACTTTATTCCACAAATAAACCATAAAGACCACTTTTGACTGCTCTGTGCAGCCTTTTTAAGGATATGAAAGTGCATTTACTATGCAATTTCCAAAACATAAAAGCCTTGCAAACTGAGCCTTTATGTCAAGTCATCACCATTCAGCTCTCTGGAAAGCCACTCTTCCCTGTAGTACAAGCAAATAAAAAACAGTTTTCTCATTTACTCACTGGGCTAATGGAACTAATGGAACTTATAACACCGGCCTAACCTTTCAAAAACACTGCATATTTTTGACTGGACCATCCCAATACATTGCATTAATGATGACTGGAGGTGAACAAGTCTTCTACACCACTATGCAGACAAGAAGAAGGTGAAGCACACAGAGATGACAGAGAGATGAGCATCAAGCAAGTAGCAGCAAGTTCTCCTTGTTTTTTTTTAATGCTGAAGCATGGGAGAAGAAGGTGGCCCAGAGAGAAGAGGCATTGGTTGGAGACTGTTATAGATGCAGTAGGCTTTCATTACCATTCTCAAGGTTCTCACTGCTCTCATAGCACCCCGAGTCCCGGGGAGAGTCTCGCATCAGGCCCTGCCCATCAGATAGAAGCTTCTCCTGTGACCCAGAATGAGCGCTTTTCTCCATGTCGCTGTTGCCTGGGAACAGTTCAGATACAGACAGTATATTATAAGTTCAGTAAAACAAAACAGTGTTTTCCAACATATGTGGAATCTTGAATCACAACATCATTCTAAAAACTGCTAAATCAAACTAAAATCACTGAAGAGGTTAAAAGAGCTCTCCATTGGACTGAACAATAGCTGTGTAGATAGCGGGCAAGGAATAGTGGATAAGAAATAGGTAATATATTAGATTTCAAAATGTTTATCAATGGGAAAGTCTGGAGCCCTGACTGAGTCCTGTGGTGCAGACATACTGTCATATTCCTGCAGCAGCTCCACAGCGGTCAGCAGCATTGCTCTGTGCTGAGGGTCATGGATGTTCAGTTCATCCAGGTCTTCCTCTTCCAGTAGTTTAAAGGTATCTAGATCCTCATAACCATTGAACAGAAATGTAGGCATGTGCTCCTAGGCAAACAGAAAAAAGCAGAATGAAAACAGATTTAAAAGCCATAGCTAGCTAATTCTTGTATTGATATTAATATGTACTTATTTCTTACATGAATACGAAGGTCAATACCTCCTCATGAATTCTTCATTGTATATACTCCATTATAACAAAAGTGAATTTGTATCATTAATAATAATGATAAAACATTCACTCAAACCAGTATGTATTTGGACTATGTGAGGAAACCTGAGCACCTAGAAGATTGGATAGAAATTACATAGCTAAATCTATGATAAATACAAATTTATTTTTTATTTTTATTTCCATGAAGGTGCTCTAAACAAAACCCAACTTATTTACTAAAACCAGTCGTGGTCCACTGCTGTGGACCAAATCTAAAATAGGCACTGTTCTCTGATAAGCTGGAAATATTTGTTCCTCTATGATCTGTATCATTTTTCAGTTTTCACCAGGCTTTGCAATTAACAGGTTAAGTTACATCATCACCAATGCCCCAGCAACTCTCACTAATTAGGTGAATGAGTACTTAGGCAACAAACATACAGTACAAGCATAAATGAAGTTTGAAGTTTCTTCTAATGCTTGGTGTACTTTCAACTCTCATAATCATGCTATAAAGGTCAACATCTGGTACAAGAGGGGTGAATTATGAGCAAATGACCAATGGTTAATCAATAAGGTATCATACCAGAGCCCATTTTCTTTTAAAAGTGATACCATTTCTGTATCTCCATTTCTCAATGTTTCAGCACGTTTTATTAGTATTTACCAAGTAAACATAACACAAAGTGAAATAAAGAAGACAATCATATCATTTTACTGGGTTCTCACTACCTATGGCAAAAGAAAAAGAAACCTCTTTTACTAGGCATTACATAAAAATATGCAACACGGCAGGAAAGGAAAGTTTTAGAAAATGTAAAGGCTTTTAGAATATTCACAGGCATCCTGATATTTACTCAAAGTTACATTTTAAAAAGCTAGTTTTGGTTAGAGATCCAATATATTTTAAGAAATGTACACATCCCACACCTCTTGTACTTTAAACAGAATGTCGGCTGTGCACCACAAACCCGTAATTTAAATAATGAGCTTCCTGTTATTTCTAAAGAAAACTACAAAACAAATAATTATTTTGGTCAGGATGATAACTACACAGTATAAAAATAGATAACAGCTTCTTATTTTACTTAGTGCTCCATAAGCAATCTCACAAAGATCACTCCTTCACAACCTCACCTGTATTTAGAGGTAAAAAGCATAAAGCTTAGAACAAAACCAGGGCCAACTGCAATGAATAAAACAACATTAACTGCAAACATTTTTCTCTCTGCTGGTGCTCTTCCACTTCTCTAAACTCTTAAATTCAACATAAACATGATAATACTGTTCTGATTCCGAGAATCAAAAAGCAGGAGAACAACAATGTGAATGACTATCAATTCCTTAAACTTAACCACTGCGACTGAAATGCAGAGCTATGATTAAATTATTGAATTGGAGCTACTACAATATTTTTAAAGAGATGCAATGCCATTGATGTGTTTCTTTCATGCTAAAATTGGGCACGCACGATCAAGTTCTGCGGAAGATAGTGGAGGTCCTGGAGACAAGCAGAGAGGAAGCAGGTCACCCTCTCCCACAAAAACGGTTAACCTACTTTGTCAAACAAGGGTGGTCAACACAGGGCATCATGCGGAGGGAGAACAAAGCGATCTTTGCTTCTGGAAATTACTGGACCATGAGGGTAGACCTTAATCGGCAGCTCCGGTTTCCCACCAAAATCACTACAACCACGCTAAGGCCAGACATTGTGTTATGGTCTGCAACAGTCAGAACGGTCATAATGATGAAGCTGACTATCCCGTGGGAGGAAGGCTTGGAGGCTTGGAGTGCAGGGAAGGAGGATGGAGGGCAATCATCTATGAAAGGGCTGTTAGCAGCATTTTATATTCCTTATAAAATGTGGGGCCGAGAAGAGCTGGGTGATTTATAATAATGGGGAAAAAAGAAAATTCACCCTAACTGAGATAGAGTTATAGAGTTTAGTATATGTGGCATAGTGCAGGGAAGGAGGATGGAGGGCAGTCAAGGCTTCGTTGGAACATCCACTCAGCGGCTACTGAGGGACACTGGAGTGACGGGAGCAAAGCTGAGGAAGACACTGAAGGAGCTTGCTGAGGAGGCAGAAAAGGGAAGCTTCTGGCTGTGACTAAGAAGGTAAGATAAAAGCTGGGGAACACACAGTTCGTGAGGCCAGCTGGTGGATCTAGTAGTCAAAGGGAGACTTTTGTTGTGGTCACGGTGAAGGGATAACAACTGGTAGAGATAGATACTGAGGCCAGCTGCAGGGGGTGGCAGGGAGACGTCCCTGCCACTGCCCCACCACCAGGAGATTTTCCAGGATTAAAGGGATGAAGCATCAATGAGGGGTAGTTCTCGGCATATGACCCTGCAGCTGGCCCAAAGGCACTGGCGGAGGTGGGACAGGCAAAAATGCCCAGCGGGTAATACACCTACCTGTATACCTAACTTTCTAACTGATGTATAAACAACTAAAAAACAACTTGATAAAAGCACTGTCAAGATTTCCTTTTCACCTATAATTCCAGTTTGTGGGGCAGAGATGTGTAAAGCCACTGAAGCACTAAGTAGCTTTTTTGGTTAACATTTGCCACCTTAAATTAGATACATTTACAAAATATGCAGGCATGCTCCTCAACATGAATATTTTGAAGATTACCAGAGGTCCTCTGGTGACACCACTTCAGTAGCTGTTTCCAGAATGCATGTTTTACATTAGTCATTAGACAGCATACGTAGAAAACAGAAACAAAAATGGGGGCCTGTACATCAGTTGCCATGGGCACACAGCTATCCTAATTCTGTCGGCTGGATAAAAGAATGCTTCTTCACCTCCTGTACCTGCTTTGTCCCTGACCTTTACAGGCAGTACAATGACGACTGTGTCAGTGCCGCCACATGCTCTAACAACCAGCAAGAGCATCATTTCACCAACTTCCACCCATCCCTCAAGTATACAGTTAACATATCTTATACAACTTTTCCATTTCTGTATGGAAACCTATTTACCATCCACTACTCTCTATGTCTATCTATTACAAACACACAGATTCACATAGCTAACTCTGGTACAGTTCCTTCCATCCCACACATACTAAAAACTCTCTACCCTTTTCAGTTTCTCAGGCTCCTATGACTTTGCAGTGACGCCACGGACTTCCATAACCAAGCCCCAAAATTCACTTTTTTCAGTAACAGATGATACCCCACCCATGCTATTGAAAGGGATCTCTCCTGAGCCAAAAATAGCCCTCGGATCATCAATCCAATTAGGTACACCTGTAAATATATATTGAACACCATGTAAATTCAAGGCCCCTCTGGACAACTCTGGGTCACCCAAATGGCATCACGTATTTCCATCATCCTTATTTACTTATTTAATCCTGAAACTACAATCACCCTTCCCCCTTCCCTTAAGGACAGACTCATCTGCTTCTTATCCTTTCAATTCATTTGCAGTTTTTGAGTTCACACCTCTCTTCTAGTTCTCCCAGAGTGTTAAAACTCCTTCTCCCCCGCTTCTTGCCTCCTCTCAACTATCCTGTCTTTTGTTATTTTATAAGCTTCACTACCTGCCGGTTTCCTTCTTTCCCTCACACCTGAATAAGGCTTCACAGCCGAAATGTTGTCTCTCTTTTATTTTCCTTTCGTCATGCAATAAACCTTTACCTTTTAAAATATGTATGTTGTCTAGAGCCTCTCTTCTTCACAATGCAGTAGAGTCAGTGGAAAGATTTCACTCCCAAAAATAGACTGCGTCTAACAGATGTTTTTAGGAATGTACAAACGTTATTACCCAAGCTTTTTATAAAGTGCTAAAATAAAATGCTTACCATCAAGTTAGGTAATTGGTATAATGTCAGTCAACACATTATAATTTAGAAAACTGCAAAAACTCTGAACCTTACAGACCATTTCAATTCTTAAAATTCATGTAAAAATAGAAAGAAAAATATAGATAGAAAATGTATTCTCTATACACTGTCCTAGCCTGGATAATGTTTTACATTGTTGCTCAAGCACACGTGCTGAGAGGCGAGTTCGCATAGGTTAGTGGGTTTACCTTGAGATTGATGCGCTCCAGCAGCTCTTCCACAGAGCTGGGTTTGGGTGGTCTTCCCTTCCTCCTCCTCCGCACAGGCCTCTTTGGCTTCTCCTCCTCCTCACTCAACACATCCACGTAGATGAACTTGAAAGTGCCAACCTTGTTATTCAGAAGACCCATCCAGGTTCCCATAGGTGGCTTACTGATGATATCTATGACATCCCCTTTCTACAAGTTAGAGAATGTGTATGTAAGATTTAAGAGCAGCAAATAGAAGAGAAAACCTAATACATACAATCTAAGGCATGAAATCAATACATGATGCTCTTAATTGAAGGATTCACAGCTTTCAACTTAAAATAAAACAGAGATCTGAGAATCCCAGAAATAGACAACTGCTTTGTTTTTAATTTTATACTCACTTTGAAATTGGAATTGCCAATCATATCTTTAGACTTCAGGTTACAGCAAAGAATCATGGGAATACGCTTCAATGACCACCATCATGCTAATCCTAAACCTCAACCCTGGAGGTGGTCTGTCAGTTCTGCGCTGTTGCTCTAGGCATCCCAATTACAGTCAGATAGCTGTAAATTCTAGGCTCAAACTTCTCATCTCTGGACACAGCTACTTTGTAAATCAAAACATTTTGCAGTACACAGGATAGGGATCCATTTATGAAATCTTTTTTAAAAACTAAATTCAAAAGAAATCTGTGTATTATAAGATCCATGTGGACAGGAAGAATACCTTCAGTTTAAGGGAGTCTGTGTCATAAGGACTGGGGGTGAAGTCAGTGTGCACTCTGGCTCGCCCACAGAAGGGGCCCCGGTAGGGGGGATCCTCATCATCACCGTCCTCGGACTTGACACTCTCCCGGTTACTGGCTGATGAGTCTGTCGTGCTCACTGTTTGACCACCTGCAACACACACCACAGGGCCAGCTCAGTATCCTGTAGCAGGGCTTTGTATCCAGACCATGCTCTCCCTCTCTTGGTGGCACAAGCAAATTCCTCCACAACCTCACACAAACTCTAAAATGCAAGCACAAGCTAAAATATTTTAGTGGATAAATTGTTTTGTTCCTTTGCTTAATTTGAAATAGGTGAAGTGCAGTTTATTAAAAAGCATACTTTTCTGATAGGGATTCGGAAATAAAACATGCATAAAATTATCAAGCACTTGATGAAGACAGGTGTGTACATTGTTTCTATGTAATTCTAGCTGTATTAAAACGTCTATATTATTATTAAAGGTATATACTACTACTACCACCACTACCAATAATAATAATTAAAAAGACGCAAGTACAGTATATGCAGTGGTTTGGATCTTTTCTCCAGGGTAGGTCTTGAAGTAAAGAAATAATTCAGAGCAGCTCTTGGAACATGAAAAACATTATGAAGAGTTTTGATTGGGATATCCAAAGAACAAAGGGAGGGCCATCGTGTGATGAAAAGTGGAAAGAAAAGCAAGATTTTGGTTGTGGAATTTATGCTTTTGTTATTTCTACTTTCCAGCACTGAACTAGGAAATCCTTAGTTATCAACAGTGGAATGCTACTTTATCTGGACTAGATGTACACAGGAACCATGAAATCAGACAGCCATGTTTTCTGTGAAACTCCTAACTCTTACTCAAGAGACTGAGATCATCCCCAGTTAAATCAATACAGGAAGACAGAAAAATAATCTTTTTATATTTTAATGATGGGGCTTCTGCAGTTTTTCTCAAGAAAAGTAATAATCAGTGTGGAATCCAGGGAAAAGCTAAACATAAACTGTTAATGTGTGCACCATCTACAACAAACTCTTTTCTCTCATATTCTACTATATTTAAGAGATGAAACATAAAACAAAAATCAACTTCAAGCTAAACAGTCCTTTTGTGGCCTCAAATACAAACTAAAAAATACACATGAAGCACAAGCATGTGCTGCAGCAAAACATCTTGTGGTATCACATCTTTCATCTGCAATGCATTTCATCTTGTGGTACAGGTAGCAAGGAGTATTGTTTTTTTTCTAAAATGAGTAAATACATCCTTCTAAAATCCTTTAGTTTCTTATAAAATAGCCAGTCCTGATAGTTAATAACTTATCTCAACTCTTGAGGTCACTCCTGCTAACTTGTAAATGAGGCCTATATAGTCAAACACAAAGAGTGCCCTGGTGGCACTTGCATCTGGTTTTTACTAATGTACTACTAATGGAATTTAAAGGACACCAAAGTGATACTGTACAAATATTTTATAAACTATAATGTATGTACTGTGTCTCCACAAATTGCTTGAAGTGTTTTGCTCTCTTAAGTATAATTTGAATTCTGATTGCATTGACTAGAAAATGTATACAATACTAATACAAGATTTCACTTTGTAATGACCTTATTTCCTGTAAAGTTATATATTAAGGTCCAGAAACAAACATCTTTGTTTCTACAATAAACCACAAAATTTGATTTCATTCACTGTTTCACTATAACTTTGTCCAGGTTTGGGATTCCTAATGCCCCAGACTGAGGGCACGAGTGTGCCGACTTAGTTTAGCCTTCAACTTATCGATGGTACACATATACTGTTCATTGATAAGGAATTGGTTATCATATTATATTGATTGCTTTCTATGTTCTCAAGTTTTAACAGGCTTTAAATTCAGTATAATATAATATATTATATTAAAATGATCTCAGTACCTGTGCATATTAAGTTGTCTCGCTGAATTTAGTACTTATTCAACAGTCAAAGATACTTCTATCTGACAAAGTCTATCTTGGTCAGTCATTAATAATAAATTAATTAAAATGACACCAAAGCCATTTAATCAATATCCCAGATCTGTATTCTTTATTCTTCTAAAAACACTCGCATAATGATTTTTTTATGCTTTGTATCCTTTGTCACCAGTGAGGCATCAATGGACATCTGATACTTCCCTTCCATCTTAAAGAAAAAGAAACCATTTTGCCTAAGAAGCCAAAATTGCTAAATGTCTATTTATTATAGTTCAAAAGAGCTTTTAGCTGTGAATATTTCTGGTTAGAGTTCTGGTAACAGCTAGATCTTTCCTTTCTCCATGGACATGACACAGAATACAGAAAGAATATAAAAGAGTGATGAGTTCCAACGATGCTTAAATACACACTTACTCATGGAGCTCTGTCCACTCAGAGAACTCCTCAGGCTCTCCACTGAGCCTCCAGCCTTCAGCTTGGGCTTCTCTAATGAGTCAGTATCAGGCTGAGGAGACTGAGGGGAGCTGGGTGTCCCATCAGGGCTTGACTGTGATGGAGAAGAACACAGACACAGATCATATTTAACTTGCATCTTTCACACACACAAAGACGTCAAAATTCAAACTAATCAGACAAAAACATACTTTTTTCCCATAATGCAAAGCAAACTCCTAGTTGAAACCATACCTGACAAGACATCAAAGAAAAATCTGAATAATGTTTTTGTCTCATATAAAGTTATACATTCAATGTGTTTTAGCTTTACTGTAACAGTACAAACAACCACTCAAATGAATGCGATTTTCACCACAAGACTTGAGTTAGATGGTTGAGTTAGGTGCTTTTTAACATTATTTCAAGGGCTTAAAAAAATACTAGAAGTACAATGTATACTAGCACACTATATCTGTGTTACATAGTAATTAAAATATCTGATTTACGGGAAAATGTTTAGGACATTCAATAACGTAATATCTAATATTTGAAGATAATACAAATAAAAGCTGTTTTGGGACAAGTATTGAAAGGAATGAAGAGTAAAGCATAATGACAAATAGCTGCCATCCACCACCAGATGGCACTCCAGAATTTAAAGTCAGTTGCTTAACCATGAACTTACTGTTTTATATAAAATATTTGTGTTTTCTTCTTTTGAATTAAATCTTTAACATAAAAAACAAAGATCTGAGTAACTAAAATATAACATATCTTGAGTGTTTCAAAAATATATGACAGAAAAAGTAAAATAATGTCAGGTTATACATTTATTTAATAATTTAGACTTTGGTGCTTTATTGCTGGCATGAAGAAAGAAAATGGTTCTTAAGTTTCAATTAAAATCTTAACCACCTCAAACTATATTTTTTGCACACTAGTTTCTCCTTATCCAAACAATGTCAATGGAAAGTGGTAAACCCCTACCATAAAGCCCTTTGTTTTCTGTATCCTTTAAAATCAATAACACTCTGTGAAAGTTATTTTACACTTCATACACTTTAAGTGGTATGGAGAGGCAGCTGCTTATGACCACACCCTTTTAATACATTTCTTAATTTTGTTAATACAGTAAGTGCAGGCTTCTTAGCAGGGCAAAGGTCAGTAGTTCTGGGAATAACTTCCCATCCAGTTACTTACTTTTGAATACTGAAATAAGATTATAATGTTTACATTATTTATTCACTTATAATTAAGTAAATGAAGCAAAAAAACAAATTTAACTGTAATGTAATATTTCAGAATTACATTTCATATTTCTTTTCACAAAAAGTGGTTAGGATATATGCATGTTTTAGTCTGGAAAAAAACATTTCTCTCTTCTATTCATTTTTCTTCAGAGACCACATTGCCAAGTAAGGCAAGGAGACATCTGTACTGTGGAATTACATTGTGCTTTTCTGAAATGCACATCAAGCAAATAACAACTCCCACAGAATTCAGATGTGGACGTTCCAGGCAATCAACAGGGACTGTTCTGGGTTAGCCCAGTGCTCAAAAAGGTGTGTGTACATTTGATGATTAGCCAGTTTACACCCAAACCAAAAACATTATTAACATGCTTGTTTCCTCAGCATACCTCCTGAATAAAATTCATGTCTCAGAGATGAAGAAAGATTTGCTGGTAGCCTGACCTGTTCAGATAAAGAACTGCTGTATTTCTTGGACATGCGTTTCCTCATGGTCTCCTTCACTGACTTCACCTTTTTGCCAAGGGAGATTCGCGATGTTGTTGGAGACTTCACAACTTCTCTGTAAATTCCTTCTTTACTCTATACCACACAATTAAAAAAAGATTCGAAGATGTTTCAAAGAACCCAACAATATAACCACACATCAAAAAGCATGGGTAAAGCAAGATGAGAAAATATATATACATATTTTATCTTACAGATGCAGCCATTCAAAATG